CACACTGTAGAACTGTACACTAGCTGAAGACCAGGGTCTGGAGTTTTACTGTGTGTGTGTGTGTGTGTGTGTGTGTGTGTGTAGCTGTGTGTAGCTGCAGGTGCAGGTGTTCCTCAGGTGTGTTCTGCGTCTGTGATCCCCTACTCTCTCTCTCTCTCTGCGGATGTCAGATCTTCAGTCCCCATCGCCAGACTGGATAGTAGCTGCGCACTGGAGCCGCTGCAGTTCCTGGACCCGCAACACACACACGCACAGGTGCGGAGAGGGACAGTGAGAGAGAGTGTGTGTGCGTTTGTGTGTGTGTGCTGCGTTTGTGTGTGTGTGCGAGTAAGTGTGCACTACTGTGTGTGTGTGTGTGTGTGTGTGTGTGTGTGTGTGTGTGTGTGTGTGTGTGTGTGTGTGTGTGTGTGTGTGTGTGTGTGTGTGTGTGTTGTGTGTGTGTGTGTGTGTGTGTGTGTGTGTGTGCAGGTGAGTCTGAGCGCAGGGCACCGCTTTGATAAGGATGTGGAGCTGCTGCTCTACTATGTGGATCCACATCAGCCGTCTGCAGTGCTGGAGGCGGGAGCGGCCACGGCTCCTGCAGGTACACCTGAACACCTGCACCCTTAACACCTGCACACTTGACACCTGAACACCTCCACACCTGCACCCTTAACACCCTGCACACCTGGAAAACACCTGCACACCTGTATAGCTGGGTGTCCAGGTAGTGTTGGTGCCAGTGTGTGTGTGTGTGTTGACAGTGTGTGTTCCTCCTCAGGCTCGCTGATGGCCGACCCGCTGCTCATGCTCAGTCTCTACCCAGAGTTCCCGGCGGCAGTGATGTCATCACTGACCTCTCACGGAGAGTTCATCTTCCTGGTGGACCAATCAGGCAGCATGGACTGCCCAATGCATCATGGGGAGGGGGCTCAGATGCGCATCGAGAGCGCCAGGGTAAGCCTAGGACTGTGTGAGTGTGTGTGTGTGTGTGTGTGTTTGTGTCAGCAGTGTTCTCTCTCTCCGCAGGACACACTCCTGCTGCTCCTCAAGAGTCTCCCCCTCGGCTGCTACTTCAACATCTACGGCTTCGGCTCCAGCTTCCAGGCCTTCTTTCCGTCAGTCCAGCTTCATTATTGAGGAGTGTGTGTGTGCGCGTGTGTGTGTGTGTGCGCGTGTGTGTGTGTGTGCGCGTGTGTGTGTGTGCGCGTGTGTGTGTGCGCGTGTGTGTGTGTGTGCGCGTGTGTGTGTGTGTGCGCGTGTGTGCGTGTGTGTGTGCGCGTGTGCGCGTGTGTGTGTGCGCGTGTGTGTGTGCGCGTGTGTGTGTGCGCGTGTGTGTGTGCGCGTGTGTGTGTGTGCGCGTGTGTGTGTGCGCGTGTGTGTGTGTGCGTGTGTGTGTGTGTGTGTGTGTGTGTGCGTGCGTGCGTGCGTGTGTGTGTGTGTGTCTGACCGTCCAGCCGTGTATGATGATGACGAGTGGGTCAGAGCTGTTGTATCTGCATGTGTTCAGGCTCTCTCTGCTGTAGGGCCGCAGGGCGCAGGTCTCCTCGAACAGCGAGCCCGCGTGGTACAGGTGGAAGCGGGACTGCAGCACAGGGGCCCCAACACTCTCTGGGGTCATCTCCGCCGCCGTCTCGCTCACTGGGGTCGACACACTCACCGGGGCCGTCTCATTCTCTGGAGCCGACTCACTCACTGGGGCCGTCTGTGGGGCCCGGCCCTGCGGCGCTGCGGGAGTGAAGCCAGATGTGCAGCTCAGAGATTCCCATGACAAACATTCAGAGAGACGCACCGAGAACACACAATTACAGAGTACAGAGAGAGAGAGAGTGTGTGTGTGTGCCTAAAATAAGCGCTCCTGCTGGTGTTTTCTTACCTGTGGTGTGTGTGTGTGTTCTCACAGAGGCTGTGAGGATGAGGATGAGGATGAAGATCATGATCCTCCAGTGTCTGCGGCGGCTCTACTGTCTGCTGGAGGAGCGCAAGATCAAGACAGAGAGGGGGTGGAGCCTGAGCGTGAGGG